TATGATGTTTAGTTTTAGGGTTTTGCATTTATTTTTTATTTTACTTTTAGTAAGGCTTTGTTAGCAAAATGTTAATAAAATATTGTTACAGATTTTGTTTATTTTGTTCTTTCCTTGAAAAGCATTTTGTCAAGAACAGAAGTATATTCAGTTGTGGTCGTTTTTCCTTTTGGAGCATCAGTGACTGTTTGAATCTTTTGTAATCGTTGTGTATGAGTCCCTCAGTTTGAAAAGATTTCTCAAAATCATAGGACTCATGAACAGCTACTGTATCACAAACAAAAAAAAAAAGCTGTGGATCATCCAGGTAACAACACAATATTAAGAATTAAGCATATCTAAACTTTTGAACTAGCCATTTTTTCAACTATTATTTTCTCTTGTGGACTATATGTACTGTAAATATCTTATTCGGGTCAGTTCTAAATAATAAAAAAAACATTGCATTTTGTATGATCCCTCTTATTTTGGTCATTAGCATTTTGTATACTGCAAAGTGTATGTAAAATTTTGACCACAACTGTAGATTTCAGTACTTTTAAAAAATAATTAAAATGATTAATGTAGATTAACTCTGAAAAATCATGCGATTAATTGTGGTTAATTATTTTAATCGACTATTTGTGACCCTGGATCACAAAACCAGTCTTAAGTAGCACGGGTATATTTCTAGCAATAGCCAAAAATTCATTGTATGGGTCAGAATTATTGATTTTTCTTTTATGCCAAAAATCATTAGGATACAAAGTAAAGGTCAGCTGAGACCTGTTCACTATGGGAGACCCTACCAGTAGTTGAAGTACCAGTGGCGTAGCTCTCAGCATCACTGATGCACACAAGCCCTCACAGCACGTCACGCTGCAAACCGTGTGAGGGACCCTAACCGAACTGTTAAAACTCAACCAACCACTCATAACTAACAACAACGCATAACACATAACTAGCAATGCACGAAAAACACTCAGAGGAGGCCAGCAACCGTAAATCAACCTAACAGCCACACAGAAAACCTTGGCAAAACCATGTGAATGCACAGGAGACCACTCAAAACATCCTGACAACCATGTAGCAAAGCTCTGAAAACCAATCAGAACACGTGCTGAAAACTTCTATAAACTTAAACTTAATAAATGAAACTTACTCTACAAACAAAAACTTACTCTACAAATAAAACTTACTTTACAAACTATAAACTTACTACTATATACAGTATATACAGTAACTGTTATTTATATACTTCAGGCTCCATGTGACACTGATGACTCTGATCACGTCTGGGCTTCTTTCAGGCAGGGGCTCTTCGCTGATGTCCACGTGAATTCGAGGGGCGAAGCTTCTGTTGTTCGTGGAGAAGCTTATGGTGATCAGGATGCGTCCATCAGGCTGCTCTATCTCCACTAGTGAGGGGCAGCTGAGTGTCTCCCATAGATGCTGCTTAATCTTCACTCCCAGCTTAAGGCTGTAGGGACAGCGTCCACCACAGCGTGTCTTCATCATAGGCTCAGCCACAGAATGGTAAATGTCCTGGTAGCCCTGGATGCTGCAGCCGTGAATGGAGATTGATGCTGCTGGACAGATGTCGGGAAGGACAGCAGCGTTCTTAAGGTAGCACTCTTCCAGACCATTGAGCTTTCGCAGAGATGCAGCTGTAAGAGTGGTCCAACCTGATTATAGCTGCCAGCTGTGAAAGCTCACATGGGTCTTGAAAGGAAGAGACACCCTCCACTACGAATCCCCTCAGGTGAGTGGGAAGAGCCCTGGGTCTTCTCATGCGATGCTGCTCCATGCTAATGAATCAAGAAAAACTTCTCAAACCCAACAAATTACTGACACTCACCAAATTGAAGAGCTTGTAGCAGAGCTTGATCATATTCAAGGCTTCAAAAACAGTTGTTGATTTTCAAATATCAGCTCAAGCTGCTGTACTGACATAGAATGTTGCGATTCATTTGAATGTAAACAACACTTGATGTTATCAATAAGCCAATTAGAGCAGCATGAGCTCTGTTACGTATTATATGCTTCTCTTTTACCATTATCATCCTCATTTACAGTTTTGTATGTGCAGTCCTCATCTGTGTGTGTATGGCTGTCTGTTAAGGTCAGAATCACTATTAGGAGCTGCTCTATGTTAGTGGTTCATGAATGAATCTGTGTGCTGAATGAATATTTTATGTGAATGAATCATTCTTAAACTGAATCATATCATTAATTCACTGAAGTTTCTTCCTTAGAAAGTGCACAACTGCTTTGATGGGTTTTCATGCCTCCACAGACTGACTATAGCACAAGCTGGTAGCATTGAAGAGCGGCCTGTACAAGGAGCATTTCATTTGTTGTGAATCTACTGAACAAATCTGTGTTTCTGAATCTGTGAGTCTGAATGAATTGTGTTGCATGACTATAAATATGCACATTGTTGTTCACATTATTATTTGTTTTTTAATCTTCCAGACACGAAGGATGAACAGAAACTTGAGGTTGTGAACAACTTGAAGAAATTTAAAGCTGTTAAAGAATAAAAAAGGAGAGGCTGAAATGAAGAAAGCAAAGACATTGTAGGTACTGTCATGATTATAAAGTGGTTTTCAATCATCAATGCCATTTGACTGCTCACCTGGTTCTATTTTTTCTCTCATCTTAAAATAAATTAATAAACAATCTTTATGTATTTATTTTAATGAGAGCAAGTGTATCCATGACTCTTAAAAGCGAAAACAAATGACTAGTTTGTGTTGGTCCTCATGGAGGTGACAAATGTATGTATTGTGAGGAGGGTCTTGCTGGAGGATTTGATAGAGACTGGTGAAATGAAAGAGTAAAAACTAATACATTGTGTTTACCATGATTGTTCATAACTGTTGTAATTTTTAAATTATTATCATTATAGCAAAAATCACTTGATTTACTTTAGAAACATTTTTGAAAAGGAAAAGGCAGTAAATCAGAATCAGAATCAGAATCAGCTTTATTCGCCAAGTGTGCGCAAACACACAAGGAATGTGTTGTGGTTTTTAAGAAGCTCTTGGTACATACATGCATGCATACATACATGACATGGGAACAGAAACATTTAAATAAGACTTAACAATAAATAATAATGTGTATGAATCTGGAACAGAAGATTTATGTACATATTTGTGTATTATTTACTCTATATATACACAGCTGTATAAAAAATATGCATATGTATTTACATAGTACACTCTTAAAAATAAAGGTGCTTCAAAAGGTTCTTCAAGCGATGCCATAGAAGAACCATTTTTGGTTCCACAAAGAACCATTCAGTCAAAGGTTCTTTAAAGAACCATCTCTTTCTTGCATTTTTGTAATCTGAAGAACCTTCTTTCGCCCCAAAGAACCTTTTGTGAAACAGAAAGGTTCTTCAGATGTTAAAGGTTCTTTATGGAACCATTTAGACAAAAAGGTTCTTCTATGGCATCGTGAAGCACCTTTATTTTTAAGAGTGTACTTGAGAGAGAGGCAATAATTAGAGATGGAGAATGAATTACAGGCATGAATTACTGTAATTCAGTTACAGAACATAGGTAATAATTCCTGTGTCAGCTGTTTAGGCTGGAGATCTGTAGCATCTGCCTGAGGGGAGAAGTGCAAACAGGTTGTGTCCGCGGTGAGAGGGGTCTTTGATTATGTTACCTGCCCATTTCTTCACTCTGGAGATGTACAAGTCCTGAAGATTGGGCAGGTGGACACCAATGATCCTTTCTGCTGTCCTAACAGTCCTCTGCAGTCTTCTTATATCTGATTTGCTGGCTGACCCAAACCAGACAGTTATAGAGGAGCACAGAACCGACTCGATAACAGACGAGTAAAACTGTGTCATATGCGCCTGTGGCAGTTTGAACTTTTTCAGTTGACGAAGGAAGTACAACCTCTGCTGAGCCTTTTTCACGATGGAGTCAATATGAGTGTCCCACTTCAGGTCCTGTGAGATGGTGGTTCCCAGGAATCTGAATGACTCCACTGCAGCCACAGTGCAGTTCATGATGGTGAGTGGGGGGAGTGCAGGGGGGTTTCTCCTGAAGTCTACTATCATCTCTACAGTTTTGAGTGTGTTCAGCTCCAGGTTGTTGTGACTGCACCAGAATTTCAAGGAAAAGGTAAAAAGCAAAGGAAAAAAACGGCTAAAGCAGAACAGGACACGGAGAGACAGTTGACTTTAAAGCTGGCAGGGCACTTGAAGAGAGTAGAGTCCCTGATATTCCTGTACCTGTAATGTAATGTATTCTGTTAATGTATTGGCTCATCAAACACAAGGGTGTTTGCCTGGCAATGGCCTACAGCACCAACCCTGGTTTGGAAAATTGATGGATGCTGTGTTTTATGTTTGTTTACTGAATAATGTCTATTTATTGCACATATTTAAGGTCTTCATTCACATATTGGCTAGTTAACAACTCATAATAATTCATAATAATGTCTAGGGCTGCAAATTAGCTTGATTATCAATTAATCTGATAAAAAGGCTGATTTTATTTTCTATATTTTTATAGAAAGAAATATATTCCACATCTTGCTCAATGTTGTCCTCCAAATACTGATGGCTTTAAAACAAATGTAGTCTAGTAAATGTGTCTACAGTATATATATATATATATATATATATATATATATATATTGTAGACACATTTACTATATATATTCATCGACAAAACAGAACTACACAAGCATACATAACGTCCGGGTTGTTGATGTAATGACCGTTTTGTTTGTTAGATGATGCCAGATTCAGAACAAATAAGTATTTAAAATATTTACATTTTTGCCAGTACATTTAGCTCCAATATGAGTATTTTAACGTTTCCTCGGGTCAAATAAATCTTAATTACCTACAAGCGTTTTTAGAGAAAATGGTACATGAGCCCTACTTGAATGGCTTGGGCCGATTTGGCTCCCCTGTCGGCGGCATTTGATCCTGCGTGCTGCGGAACAGGCTGCTGCCCGTCTCGGAGTCAGAATTCTTCGCTATCAATGCGTACAGGGGCCATATTGTTGATGTGTCACCTCGGGAGGAGATCACTCACACGGACTTGACACTCATTATTTATCACGGCAGCTGGTATATGCCATTTTAAATGGATTTAACATAACCGGTAAGTCACATATTTAAAATAAAATGGCCAGATCTCAACTACAAAAGCGAATGTTTATTTAATTAGCCTGAAAGCTATGTCAATGGGGGAACTCAGTGGCAGCTGTCTGATATACTGTTATTGTCAGTGTTCTAGACCTTTAATAATCTATAGGATTATTATAAACACTCTGATAACAAGCTAAATGCCTGGTTAGAATCGGTTATGGCTGTGAAAACTCATCTGATCAGCTTGTGAATGTTAGGACTAGATCTCCACCACACAGCTGATTTTGTGTGTATTTTTATATTTGTAGGCATTTCAGTAATTGACCATTCTGTAATTTGTTACGTTAATACCGTGTCTGTTTTAATTCGAGTGAACAAAGCAGATAATTTCTCATAAACACGTAAATATGATATACTTGGACAGGTTAGCCAACATGCTAAAGCTAACTGCACCTGTGTGGGGACAGCAGTATCTGTCACCGGACTTATCGCCTCGAAATGAATAATACAATGATCATTGCAGCTCTTATTTGCAATTATTCCTCTTTTAGTGCTAATTATAGATCAAATAACGAGTTTGTTGCGAGAAAAGGTGGCAGTGCTGTTTTTTGTGGACTGAGCACTGCATCCTCCCTCTGCAGAAGAAATACACTTGCAAATATGTGTGAGACTGAAGATAACAAAACAAAGACAGATCAAATACAGATAATAAAGGGGGGGAAAGGAAGTTAACCTGGCCAGGAAATTGCTTCACTCATGAAGACTCAGATGTGAGTCAAAAGCTGTTTTCAAAAAAGCCTGCCTAAAAGTGTGATAAGGTTTATCATCCATTAACAGCTTTTTGAAGTATTTCACTGAGTGTCAGTCAGTGAGAAATATTAAACTTTTCAGTTTGGTGCTAGTTGACAGTGGAGAATGTTTACTTGGAGAGACGCATGAGAAGCTGGTAACCTTTAAAGTTTTAGTTACTGGCAGCTGCACATCTTGTCCTACTACAGACAAGTCTTGTTTCTCAATCAGTATGTGTGTACTTTGCAAGAATACATTTGATTAAGGATATTAAAATAATTATTACTTCATGATGAGAAACTGTAACTTGCTGTAGTGTAGTGTAAACCTACTGTATGTCTGCATGTAGTCATTTATGCTGATACTGAGGTCAAGGTGTTTTATATGGATAGGCCTAACATGTTTAACATTTATTGGTGTCAAAATCAAAAATAGATGTACACAAAATTGCTGATATGCAAACTTACTGTACTGTACTTTTAGTACTATACTGGAAAAAAAGCTGTTTTACATATTTCATATTGTTTTCTGTTCACTGAAAACAGAAATTGTATATTTTCGACTGACAAAGATGTTGGTAAAGTTTGTGTAGTAGATTTTGTAAAATATTACACTGGTTATGGTAACCAGTATTTTCCGTCATTAACCAAATTTGAAAAACATTGACAGATAATTTAAAAAAAAATGTTCTACTGTTCTGACAGGTAAAATGGGATATACTGTGTTTTCCACCTGTAAAATTCCAATTCCATTCCTACACTTAAAGAGGCTTAAAGGGATTAGCAGTAAAAATGAGAGAAAATTTAATTTTAATTTCCTCTACAAAAATCTTCTCTTTTTTTTATTTATTTTTTTATTTTTTTTTAAAGAGAAATGACAAAGAACCTGCAACTCGAGGATTAAAAAAAATCTCCTTATGTGGGCACAAGGTGCTCAGGCCAAGGTCCGTTCTTGCACACTGGTTAACTGTCACAGTAAGCTCCTAAAATAGGCCTATATTCGTAACATTCTTGCTTATAGTAAAGTTTGTGTAGTAGATTTTGTAAAATATTACACTGGTTATGGTAACCAGTATTTTCCGTCATTAACCAAATTTGAAAAACATTGACAGATAATTTAAAAAAAAAATGTTCTACTGTTCTGACAGGTAAAATGGGATATACTGTGTTTTCCACCTGTAAAATTCCAATTCCATTCCTACACTTAAAGAGGCTTAAAGGGATTAGCAGTAAAAATGAGAGAAAATTAAATTTTAATTTCCTCTACAAAAATCTTCTCTTTTTTTTATTTATTTATTTATTTATTTTTAAAGAGAAATGACAAAGAACCTGCAACTCGAGGATTAAAAAAAATCTCCTTATGTGGGCACAAGGTGCTCAGGCCAAGGTCCGTTCTTGCACACTGGTTAACTGTCACAGTAAGCTCCTAAAATAGGCCTATATTCGTAACATTCTTGCTTATCCTGCTGGATGGGCTTCTGCCCCAGTTTCACTCATTCAGTGTGAATCACACAAAATCAGTGTCTGTTTCCTCAATGGCAAACAGCATTCCCTTTTGTGTTCTCCAGTGTCATCTATAGGCATTTAGCTGGGAATGCAGTAATCCACTGAATCCTGATACAATGATGTATTAAGCAGGTAGGGTGTGAGAAGGGTAGGACCACCTTAGTTTCACAATACTGGCATCACAAAACTGCCTCCAGGTGGAAGGAGAGCCGTGCTCCTATTTTGCGAGGGAGTACCACACCTCAATCGTGGATATGTGTGGGCTTGGACAGTTATAGTATACTACTACTTGCTTTATTAATGGCAGTGTCCCGACAGCAGGTGTGGCAAGACTGTTTGCACAAACATTGTACACAACATCCTCAATTCCTGGTGCTAGAAGGAAATCTGATACATGTAAAATAGCCATATGAATGTTTTGCTTTATTTGACCTGGTGATCCCCTGATAAGAAATGTTTTATGGTGGCTTCTTGTTAATTATAGATGTCAAGTTTTGATGGTCCATTGGTGTTATAATTATGACATGAGGAGATTTTTACCTGTAATGATAATTTCACTTAACTGTCTTCCAAACACATACACACACAATAATAATAATAATAATAATCAGTTATTATGAAATTTTATTATTAGCATAATTTTTCACCAGTGTTTCCTAAAGAATTCTGTTTTTTGTAGCCCTCCACCCATTTCTGTAACATAATTCAATAGTTTTTTTTAATAAATAGAAAAATAAAAATTAATTTTGTCTTGTTTCACATGCATGTGACTGAATTTTATGTATTGTGTTTTCCAGTGCCATTAGCTGAAGGAGATCATGGAGCCGTCGGATTGTCAGAGCGAACTGACCCCTGCCTCTGACCCCTCTCAAAGTTCAGAGGTCAGTGTAGTTCCGGAAGGGTCAAACAATGTCCTCAGCACTGGGGGTGAACCTGTTTTAAAAGAACAGGAGGAAGACACTGAGCTGGACAGTCTTGAGCTGGATGGTACTCTTTCAGATAGTGTGGATAGAGAAGGTCAGAGACCAGACATGCACATGGAGGTCCAGCAAGATGAAGGACTTGGAGAACATGCACAGGGTGATGGGAACACAAGCTGTGACAGTGGAACAGCCTCCATTGATGATGCCAGGACTCTACCAGCTGTTCACGACAGTGCTGTAGAATCACTTCCCGCGGTTCTTGATGGAGAACTCGAATGTTCTGGCCTTGAAGAACCAGCAGAGGTGGTTACAGAATCAGAAGGTGGGACTCAGAATAATGTTGAGGAATCTTCTCCATCTGTTCTGAATGGGACAGATGATATTTCATCCACACAACTTGATACATTCAACGGGCCAACAGAACTTAACAGAACTCCTTTGACTCCTACGCCGGCTTCTCAGGGTGAGGAACTGCCAGATGTTGTTTCAGTACCCCAATACTCGCAATCTAACTCCAACATGAACCCATATGACACGGACTGCAGCAGGAAACTGTTGTCTGAGATCCAGCGCTCTCTGTCTCAGGAGTCTCTGCTGGATGAACTGGAGGATGAGCTGTTGAACAGTGAGTCAGATGGCATCCGCAAGGGAAGTCCTCCCAATGGGCTTCAGAAGGACCAGAGCTCCATGGTTTTATTTGAGAAGTGTGTACAATACAAGTACTCCCAACAGGAGAAAGCCATCAAGAGGTAGGCTGTTGATTAATAGCTCACAAGAGGTTATAGTCCATTGCTGTTAGATTTATAGCAGCAGGAGATGGTAAATCATTAGTTTAATTTGTCATTCTTACCTGCATGAAAATTACACTTCACTATCTTTCATTGCCAATGTGTGGCAATAAAATCTCTTCACCCATTCACCCTCGTAAACTTCAGCTAATCAAGGGAAATGAGTTCATGAACAATCAGGATTGTATAGATTTCTATAAAATTATAATTTGTTATTTTTGTATTATAATAGAATTATTATTGTCCTCCTCCACCCATTTTTGTAAAATATTTATTTTTTTAAATAAATTAGAATTCATATTAATCTATTATAAAATATATTTTGGATGATGTGCCTATTATTATATGAATAATTAATTATCCAGTAATTATACCTAATTTAAATGAGTCAGATGTTAATGTGCATACACACACTTTTGGGAATAGTGAATGATTTGTTAGGATGATTCAAAACAATAATTCTGTGAGTTTTTATTTATTATTTTTTGACTGATTTATTGAAAGAACTGGCTATAAGCCTAAGTGGCATCCAGCCACTGAAGACTATGCAATAGAATGACATTGGCTTTGTTTTATTTCATGGTTCATTGCCTGTTCAACTCATTACAATTAAATCAGACTGCAGCTTCGCAATTCTGGTAAAATATGATTTATTTTGCTATGGTGCTATTGATTATTTTATGCTGTGATCAAACTTAGCCTGTCTGCTTTGAAACCCCCTGCTGTTCTGGCTTTATTAATTTTTGCAAGGGCATCTGGCTGACTTACGTATTGGAACCGGTCCACAGCTCTTCTGTGCATGGCCCGCTGTTAATATTGTCTTATGGGTGATGCTCACGGACACCTGTTCCCTCTGCTATTATTACATGGTCTTTTCTACATTATGGCACATATTGGTGCCTAATACTTTATTGAAAGCAATTAGTTGTTGTCCTTGATATGGTTTAGATCACAAGTTTAGCACAAATATTCTTCTCATTGACAAGCAAATAACAGATTGGCACAACAGAAGCACCGTTATTTCACAGTACAACAGCTCCAGTGTATTACAATGTGCTGACATTGGTAGTAACAGCTGGTAACTGTTTTTCAGATTACTTGATGAGAATAAGAAACATCAGGAGCTGATTCTGGGCATCTGCTCCGAGAAAGACAACATGAGGGATGAGCTGAAGAAGAGGATGGAGACAGAGAAACAGCATATTTGCACCATTAAGAAAGTAATGGCAACCATCAATTGTTTTTGTGTGTCTGTTTTTATTTGTGTTTTGGATAACCTGACTATCTATTTGTCCAACCATTGGGATACAATGAAGTGATCAAGAAACATTGTTGTAAAGTTTAAACCGTTTAGCTTGAAATTTGCTTGAAAATTGTCCAAAGACTATGCATATGCACCAAAAATACATTAAATATCAGTAATATTGTGAAATATTATTGCAATTTAATATGTGTTTTCTATTTGAATATATTTTAAAATCTAATTTATTCATGTGATGGCAAAGCTGAATTTTTAGCAGCCATTACTTCAGTCTTGAGTGTCACATGAGTATTCAGAAATCACTATAATATGCTGATTTGGTGCTCAAAAAACATTTCTTATTGGTACATGTTGAAAACCCTTGGTCTGCTTAATATTTTTGTGATACATTTCTTTCAGGATTCTTTGGTAAATCGAAATTCTAAAGAACATCATTAAAATAGATATCTTTCTTTACTGTCTCTTTAGATAAATTAAAGCATCCCTGCTGAATAATTTCTTAAAAAAAAAAAAAAATTCTTACTGACCCCAAACCTTTGAACAGTCATGTGTAATTATGCTCTTGTTACCATATCATTTCTAGTGTATCCAGAATTAAGGTATGTTCAGCTCAATGGCACTATTTGTTATTTAAATGCCTCTTCAGTATCCATGACTGTCCCTTGTGCACTGATTAGAGAACACTTGTTTGCTGAACAGCTTTCATTTGATACTGGAAAAGCGGGCTTGTTTGAGAGTGACTCTAGGCTAAGAGAGACCGTAGTTCAGTTCAATCTGATAAAAGCCCCCTGTCACAGAGAGTAACAACACAGATCAAACAGAGCAGCCTTGGGGGGGGGAGCCGTCGAGAAGCCATAATTAAGTGTTGCAGTAATGACATGAAACTATTATGTGCATTTTGTTGTCATGGTTTCTCCTCATAGTTAGAACAGGCATCTGAGGCCACACAGACAAACACTTCCTCTGAATGAAACCTTGCCCGTCTGTTTACTTTCATTCAATAGTGTCACTGTGAAGAAAATGTAACACTTGGTTCCTACACATGGTTGCCAGAAAGGGAACTAAACCTGAATGGAACCTTTGTCACTTATTTAAATTTTAGTTTGAATCTATTTTCATAAGCTGTCCAGAACCTGACATTTAAATGAAGGCGCGGGTCATATTTCACTTGCTGGGTGTGTAAACACTGATCTGTTTTGGATCAGCTACTGTCTATCAGAGCTGCCTCTTTTGTTATCATTATTAATGTGTTTATGGTTACCACAGTCACTGCCTTTTAACTGTTTGCCTCTCTTGTTTTACCAGTTTGAAAGCCGGGTGGAGGAACTTATGAAGGATATGAAAGACTCCAGAGACAAACTGGTTCACCAAGATCAGGCCGCTAAGAATACAATCCAGCAGATGCAGAGGGAGATGGCCTATAGACTTGAACAGGTGAGAGGTCTTCGCTATAGAGACACTCCAAACAAAGCCTTTCTTGCATAAGAGCACTGGCTAAATTACTTTTTAATCAGTCTGTGCTCTTTGTATAGCAGCGTCTTTAAAATTAAATCATGTCAGTCCTGAAGTGATGTCTTGTTTGCACAAAGTGAACGAGGGTCTTTAAGATGGGTCTTTTTGTCCTCATCCTTTTTTAGTCCACACCTGTTGGTAAATGTAAAATCCAGCATTCGGATATTGAGGACTAATATCATAAAGTTGTGCAAGTTGTATTTAGTTTGGCAGGACTTGTTCAAACAGCCCCTCACTCTCATTTAAACTTGTTGTTCAAGTTTCAGGGCAAGTCTTTTGCTCTTTCACTGTCTTTGGATTCATCTAATATGGTAAAAGCCCAAGTTATCATAGAATGGTGTATATTCGGGCTGGTAACCACATGGTTATAGGTTAAAATCTCACATGATCCTAGTTTGGCAAGACTTGTTCATATTTGAATGTGTAAAGTATGTTAAAGGGGTCATATGATGCAATTTTAAAGATCATTATTTGGTGTAACAGAATATGTTGACATGCTTTAATGTTCAAAAAACACATTCTTTTTCAAATACTGTACATTATTGTAGTTCCTCTATGCCCCGCCTCTCTCAAACGCGTCGTTTTCTGCAAAGTCCCTCCTTCCGACAAGCACAGTCTGCTCTGATTGGCCAGCTGACCCAGTGCAATGTGATTGGCCAAACACCACAAGCAAGCGTCTGAAATGTAACGCCCCTTACCATAATCGTGAGCTTCAGCTCTCAACATAAATGGAAAGACAGTAAATAATGTTCTTATTTTTACCATCAGTTCAAGCCCGAAAGGGGAACAGAGTCGAGTGACAGACACAGTGATGATGCTCGTATGTATTTGCAGTACACAAGCCACGATTAAGAAAGCTGACTCCACTGTGATGTGACCCCATCTCTCTCTCACGCACACACACACACACACACACACGACTCGATACTCTACACGGGGCACAAAACTCCGCATTTGAACAGTCAATAGCAAACACTTAAACAATTGAGAAAACATACTTACAGTAGCTGATTCAGAATAAGTGCCAGATTGTCATAGCAAAGAGAAATAGCCTTTGCACAGCCAGCCTTGTAGGCTACTCTCCTAGGTTCACAAAACTGTCGTCAATAAAATGCGTTGCACAAATTCGAACATCTGGTTTGATTCCTCTTTGCAGCTACTTTCGGAAGGCCAAATAAAGTGCTTTTGCTTTCGCACAGAAACACACAGTGTCTCCCTGACATGGCTGCATCAACACTACTGTGGTTCCTGACACCACGCCTTCTTTCTTTGCATGAACATTTGGGCAGCATTATGCAAATATTTCCACATCGTGATGTAGATATGTGGGGGCGTGTTTGAATGAGGCGTTTTAGCCCGGTCTGGATCAGCCTTCTCTTTTAGATAGAATAAATACTTTTGTGGGAGACTTTGAGCTGTGTAACTCTGCAGATCGTATACATGCACAAATAGCTACATAACACACTAAAGAAAAGAAAGAATAGAAATCGCATCATATGACCCCTTTAAATGCCCAAGTTATCATAGTGTATATTCAGCCTCAGGCTGATTATGTGAGATTTGAACCCATAACCATCCGGTTACTAGGCAGCCTGGTAACCGGATGGTTATGGGTTCAAATCTCACATAATCCTAGTTTGGCAGGACTTGTTCAAACACCCCTTCACTCTCATGTAAACTGCTCAGTCAAGTGTGAGGTTCTGTCTTTTGTGCTTTCACTGCCTTTGGATGCATAAAATATGTTAAATGGCCAAGTTATTATAGAATGGTGTATATTCGGGCTGGTAACCTGATGGTTATAGGTTCAAGCCTTACATGTCCCTAGTTCGGCAGGGCTTGTTCAAACAGCATTTCACTCTCATGTAAATTCCTCAGTCAAGTGTTACGGCCTCTCTTTTGCTCTTTCACTGCCTTTGGATGCATAAAATATGTTAAAGGGGTCATATGATGCTGCTAAAAAGAACATTATTTGGTGTATTTGGTGTAATGAAATGTGTTTATGCGTTTTAAGGTTAAAAAAATACATTATTTTTCCACATACTGTACATTATTGTTTTTGTCCTCTATGCCCCGCCTTTCTGAAATGCGTCGATTTTTACAAAGCTCATCGGTCTGAAAAAACAAGGTGTGCTGTGATTGGCCAGCTATCCAGTGCGTTGTGATTGGCCGAATACCTCAAGCGTGTGACGGAAATGTTACACCCCTACCTTACTGTGATGATGCCCTGTCAGGCCGGAGCGACGAGACAAAAACATTAAAACCCATTATAAACGAGGCATTCGTTGCATCCAGTGGGGACATAATTATGGATTATAATGACTTTTTATCCAAACACCACAAGCAAGCGTCTGAAATGTAACGCCCCTTACCATAATCGTGAGCTTCAGCTCTCAACATAAATGGAAAGACAGTAAATAATGTTCTTATTTTTACCATCAGTTCAAGCCCGAAAGGGGAACAGAGTCGAGTGACAGACACAGTGATGATGCTCGTATGTATTTGCAGTACACAAGCCACGATTAAGAAAGCTGACTCCACTGTGATGTGACCCCATCTCTCTCTCACGCACACACACACACACACACACGACTCGATACTCTACACGGGGCACAAAACTCCGCATTTGAACAGTCAATAGCAAACACTTAAACAATTGAGAAAACATACTTACAGTAGCTGATTCAGAATAAGCGCCATATTGTCATAGCAAAGAGAAATAGCCTTTGCACAGCCAGCCTTGTAGGCTACTCTCCTAGGTTCACAAAACTGTCGTCAATAAAATGCGTTGCACAAATTCGAACATCTGGTTTGATTCCTCTTTGCAGCTACTTTCGGAAGGCCAAATAAAGTGCTTTTGCTTTCGCACAGAAACACACAGTGTCTCCCTGACATGGCTGCATCAACACTACTGTGGTCGTGTCCATTTTTGGAAAGCCAAACAAAGTAGTTTCACTTTCACAATGAAACACAGTGTCACACATGGCGGCCTAGAGTGAGCAGCGGCCGGGGGATAAAGTGAGGAACGGCCGGAGGGCTAGAGTGAGCAGAGGCGGCGGATTCGACGAAGGAGCGTCCGGCGGGCTTGTCAGCGACCAGCACGGATCAGCTCCAGGCATGACGAAGCAGATATCGTCCTCTTTTGGAAGGCCAAACAAAGTATTTTAAGTTTCACAACGAAACACAGCGTCTTCACGACATGGACGACATGGCGGCGGCGGCGGCAACAACAATACTACAGCGAGAATAAAAATTACGCCTTCTTTCTTTGAGTGAACATTTGGGCAGCGTTATGCAAATCTTCCTACATAGTGACATAGGTATGTGGGGGCGTGTTAGAACGAGCTGTTTTAGGTAGGTGTGGCTGACTCTTAACTTTTATAAAGAATATCTCTTTTGATTTGAGACTTTAGTCTTTGCAACTTTACAGATCTTCTTTATGCACCAAGAGCTTGTAACACTCCAAAGAAAAATTTTAATCGCATCATATGACCCCTTTAAAAGCCCAAGTTATGATAGAATGGTGTATGTTTGGGCTGGTACCCAGATGGTTATAGGTTCAGGTCTTACATGATCCATAAACAATGTTTGTTTGTGTGTTTACATATGTTTCCTCTCCCCAGGCCAATAAGAAATGTGAGGAGGCACGGCAGGAGAAGGAGACAATGGTGATGAAGTACGTCCGGGGTGAAAAGGAAGCTCTGGACCTGCGGAGGGAGAAGGAGCAGCTGGAGAAGAAGCTACGGGAGGCCACAGCAGAAGTAGACAAACAAGCTCGGCGGGGAAACACACTGGCCCAAGAGAAAGGACGCCTACAGCAGCTCTATGACGCAAAGGTCATACATGAAAATACAGTTGATACCTTGATGCTTGATATGGTGTGTAAATCTACAGTATGCATTGATTGTATATAGGTTCTTAGGAGTCTTTGTCTTTGATTACTTTTCTGTAGGAAAATGAAGTGACAAGACTATCCCGTGAACTGGAGAAAGTGAAGGAAGAAATTAATTCTCATGTCATCAAAGTAAAGTGGGCACAGAACAAGCTGAAGAGCGAAACAGATGCTCACAAGGTAAACCAGAGAACTCTGAATAAAAAGCTGTTCGCACCAAGCATGAATTATAACGATAACTATAACTAATGTTTTAACACTAGAACTACCGGAATTCCATAACTACTAGAATGGCCATAGCGGTTAATTCTGACTAGACTGAACTGAATGCCATTTTTGTCATATCATATTTACATTCGAAGCTTCT